TATGAAATTTTAAGAAGCTGAAATTGGGAAAAATTAAATATCTTCTTTTAAGTCACCAGACTGGTTCATGACTACACAAAAATAAGAGTCAAGTTAGTTCAACTCTAATGCAAGTCTCCTTCATGATCTTTATAACTAGCTTTCTCATGAATGCAGAGCAATAACTACAATAATCCTGTTGCCTTATCAAATACAGAATAAGTGAGACATTGTGAAATGGTATTGAAAATATTAAGACTAATATAAACAACGGCTATAGGCAAAACACAAGTATAACATAACTGAGAATAGTATCAAAATTATTAAGACACCATCAAAATGGCAACCATCAAAATGTTCTCTATATCTATGAGTCTGTTTCTATTTTGTTTGTTTACTTTGTTCTTTAGATTCCACATATGAGCGATATCACTTTGATCTATCTTTCTCTGAAATACTCCACTCAGCACAACACCCTCCAGGTTCATCCATGCTGCAACAGATGGCAAGACACCATTCCCTTCCCTGACCAAGCAATATTCTACTGTATATATGTTCTCTTTGTTCATTCTTCCATCGACAGACACCAAGGCTGCCTCCACATCTTGGCCCTTGTAAACAATGCTGCAATGAACACATGGAAACACATGTCCCCTTGAAGTAGCATTTTGGGTTTCTTCAGATAAATACCAGTGGGATTACTAGGTCCTTTATTGTCACTTGTTATAAAGTTATAAAGTTTTAAAGTCTATTTTGTCTGGTGTAAGTATTGCTACCACAGCTTTTTCTATTTCCATTTTCATGAAATATCTTTTTCCATCCCTTTACTTTCAGTCTGTGTGTGTCTTTCAATCTGAAGTGAGTCTCCTGTAGGCAACATACGTATTGGTATTGACTATATCTTGAGATAACATGAGTTTTTAGCTGGAGGGTTTGATTACATAATAGGTCAATGTTGTTAATATTTCTTTTTCTTCTTTTTTTTTAAAGATTTTATTGAGGAATTGGGGGAGGGAACAGTGTTGGGGAATCAGGGAAGGGGAACAGACAAGTTGCTGTTGTTTTGTTCTTCAGTCTAGTTGTGGAGGATGTCGC